TTTCAATAGCCTAGATTATTACCTGTTTGGATTCATCTGAGTCAGAATCGACTTGTAAAATCTGCCACTCATCCATATTATCATTGGTGTCCCATATTTGCTCTGAAAATATCGTAAAGGATGTACAGTACACATTACCACTCCAGGAGGTGGAATGTTTATTTAAATAATACAGCTGAAAATAATACCGGAAGGTGTCTTACGAAGTCAGCAGTGCCACTTGAAATAGGATGGTATTTTACTCACGTGAATCTTTAGGGGGTGGGAGTCCCAAGAAGGACGTATGTACGCTTAATATGACATTATGCCGAGTGTGCTGTGTGTGAAAGAGACAAAATATCAGGGTCCTCAATGAACTCATCGTGCATCCGTCTTGGGACCCCCCCCCCTTATGTATGGTATTTGAAAGAACCACAAGAACAATATGCTCATATACTTATAAATTGTTATTTTTAAAAAATGCAATGTAGAGACATGATGCGAATACGCACGTACTTTTAATTTACAAGGAGTGGTACATGTAATTCTACCATAGTGTATTTTACTCTATCTTTAAACAAACTAGAGCGCTTATCGTCTAAAACTATGATATTGTATTCTGACGTCAACGCACGCTACCTTGTAACAGTAACCCGTAACAAGGCAATATTTTAGTGTATTGTGACGTCACACTGTGAAGTCGACGTCACTAGGTTCTTACCCACATATGCTAAGGCTCCTGTCATGGAAATCAGTACAATCAGCAGGCCCGAACAGCAATCCATGACGGTGCTACTGTGCTAAGATAAAACAAAATAAAATGAAATAAAACAAAACATAAATGTTAGATCATAAGGCTTGTACAGAATGTGAATATTCCTGGATTGCCAAGCCCTTCGCATTGACAACTATTCTACGCAGTTTTTGTATCGACCTCCTTGATTTCTGGTACTGTCCCAGTGTAAATTATTTATTGTCAAGTACTTATCAATCTTCTGCCACTGATTTGTTGCCGAACCTAGTTAAGAGATATCTTATTTTTACATTCGCACTCTACGCCGTATGAACCAGGATACAAGGAAAACTAATGGGGAGTGGTGGAATTGGAAGAACTACATCACTAAGATAAGAATACGATATATTGGTCATAACTGTGCTGGGTTGACCGAGGCTTTTCAACCCTCAAACAAAACGTACCGCAACGCTTTACTTGACATCTATTGTATTTTTGTGATCCCACATTATTCACATGCTCATTTCATTTTGAATTATGGTTGGGATTGTTTTTTGTTTTGTTTTTAATAAAAAAGCATCTTTGTGCTAGAAAATTACCATCTGATAACAGTAAAACTGATGCGTGATGACCTCAAGATTAAATTAAAAGAATTATTTTATTATTATTATTATTATCAGTATGATTATTATGATTATTTGTTAGACAGTCTGTATTTAGGTACTTCAGTTCAGAGGTACCTGGATCTAGGGGATAAAGCTCAGAGGTACCCGGATACAGGGGATAGAATTCAGAGGTACCCGGATACAGGGGATAGAGTTCAGAGGTACCCGGATACAGGGGATAGAATTCAGAGGTACCCGGATAGAGGGGATAGAGTTCAGAGGTAACCGGATTCAATATAAGCAGTACTTACTTCCGCTCACCCCTCCTAATTTACTGAATGACTCGTCTGGCATTCAGAACATTCCAAGCTAAGCAAGGAAAAATGTGCCTACTTTCCTCACCCGTCTATCTTGGATAGATTGAACAACAAACCTGACTGGTATTAGAATTTTGAAAATTGTTGACCCGAAATAACGATGATGTCGCTAACATAGAGCTGAACTTAATGATGTAAATGTTTTATACATAATGAGTCCATGATACGAATTCACGATGGCATTAATAATAATAATAATAACAATCAACTTTATATCGGAAGTGTAATTATCGCGGAAATGACACAACCGTTCCGAAAATTACTTGTTGCATGTTGGGAATCGACGACACAAAGCAAATTCCTCTATGAGACAGTTCAGTGCCCTCGAGTAATTGCTTTCCTTGCACTATAGCTCCAGGGCTTCAGTTACCGAAGTACACATGTCCTGTAAAACTACACACTGAGCAATGCTTGATCTCAGGAGTCAAGGGGAGAAGGCCCACTTAGAATGCACAGCATACTGCCATTCATCCGGAAAATATGTCATCGAATTTACTACATGTATGATAAGTCATCAGGCATGTTCTTATTTTCTTTCAAAAGAAAGCGAATTCATCGCTTTATTTTCGTTTCCTGAATACATCTTTTTTCTTTTGCCTCGTTTCTTCTTTCTTTTTTAGGATGGGGGGGGGGGGGAGGGGAGAAGGCGGTATCTCACTAGGTACATGTAAGGACGGGTTCGTGTCACTGTGCCCCCCCCCCCCCCCCCCCCCCAAACCCCGCCATTGCTGTGTTTGGATAGAAAAAGAAATAGATATCGGAATTCGACACTGCACATCGAGGCCTATATATAGTCGGTTGAATAGTGGTTGTAGGTGACAGTGACGTCCGCGTTTTTGTTGTAGATAACTGAAACATAGAAATATTGTTTGATTTGTTTTTAAGGGATTACGGGAAAGGGTAAATCACGAGGATCGACTAAAAGCTGTTTCAACCGTTTTTGATAAGTATATCTTGCCAGTTTGTTAGTTATAGTATGTTATATAGTGACCCACTTTATAGCTAGTATAACGTACTACACACTATAAAAACAATTGGCTGACACGCCTTCACGCAAATCCTGTTTTTACTTGAATCTACAGTCACGGGCAGAATTGCATTTGTCTATGTGCATGTGTGAATGTGTGCGTGTGTATGTGTGTATGTGAATGTGTGTATGTGTGTATTTCTGTGTGTGTGGAAAAGGAGAGAGAGAGAGAGAGAGAGAGAGAGAGAGAGAGAGACAGGTGAAGACGTATCGCATGCAGTAAAGCGGAATCAAAGAGAACGTATCATGACGTCTTACCTTGCTTTATATGATCTCTTCCAGTAGGAATCAAAATCAACCCGTTAACAGATGACGTCCAGAAGTAAGTAGTGAGAAAATAATAAAAAAAAGTGCGAAACACCCCTCTCAAGTGCAACCGTGGCTCGGCGTGACCCTGTTGACGCACAAATGAAGTGCATAAACCGCATGCTGTACACTCACTGCCTACGCAACAGGATACGCGTGTCAGCTGGAGCGGCTTCACAGCAATGTAAGGACCACGCGTGTCCGGTTTTAGCTTGTTTGGTGACCTATGTTTTAATTAACTTGCAGAAGAGGGCACGGTCGTTAGCTTTAGCTTTGGACTTAGAACTGTACAGGTTTCGTGCACATCAGGATGTTGTTAGGAAAAAAATTACGAAAAATTACAGTTAATTGCAGTTATCCAGTGTAACTAAAGCCATCTTTACAGTATCCACTACACTGGAGAAGATTAATTTGTAATAATAAATTAAATATCTCTGAAAGAAATATTAATCCTACTACTATTTATTTATTTTGGCCGGTGGAAAGTGAATACTTTCCTACACTAGCTTTATCGTTTCGTTATGTGCAGCATGTTTTGTTGAATGGTTCGGCTTGAGCTTGATTTTCGTGATGAAACACGACACGAGCTAAACTCATAATTGTACAAGTATAGTGAATGAGGTTTCCGAGGCGGATATTATATCCTCAATTTTCAGTGCCAATGAAAAACTACAACAACAGCAACAGCAAGAAAAACAACAGCAACAATAATAGTTTGAGTAATTTACAAAGCCGCTAAGGAGGAGAATTTTAATAATCCCTGTAAATTCATACACCTCAAAAGTATCATCATCTTGGTTAAATTATGTAATTTTGCGTTCATAACTAATTCAATATCATACCTTCCTCTGTACCAAAAGGTTTTTTATTTACTTGATTGGAAACCTGTCAAGCATTGCCTTACGGAAACAATATCGCAGTTGTTGGACTTGGATAACCCGAGGTTGCTTGTGACAGGAATATTCTTAAATATGCTGGATTCCAGAAACTACTCTGGATTCTCTCCTAAATTTATACAGTTCGACTGAATTGTTATTAGATCAGAAATGTCACTTTTGTATGTGTTTGGATGCAAATTTAAGCTTGATATACATTATTTTACCTTTGGTCAGTTAAATACAACATTCACAAAGGTCTATGCAGTTCTCAGCAGGAGCTAGAAAAATCACAAAAAGTTCAAGTTCATTTTTGAAAGAATAAAGCAAGCTGGTGCTGTATTTTGAGCTATTTTGGTCCTTTGCGAGACTGACCTTGGCATTTAGGCATAGCTTTGACTTCTGATGACTTCCAAACTTTTTTAAATGAATGGCCATGCTCTTGAACATTAAAAAGATACCTCTCACAAGTTTGTACGTCACCCAGTTTCCATGATATGCCCACTTAAATACCCTCCCTTATGCATTTTTTGCGACCGTTTTTTTTTTTTTTTTTTTTTTTTTTTCGTTTGCACTTTGCATGGGTGTATTCCGGTGGGAAATTGTCTGGGTTATGCTGGCCCATAACTGGACCGGGTTCTGTTGTGTCTCCTTCGTTAACATTTTTTTCCAACCTAAGTCGTTCGTTTCATGGACTATATACCTTTATATTATCGTTTCGTAATGTGCAGCATGTTCTTTAAAGGGGTCGGTTTGAGCTTGATTGTGAAACGCGACACGAGCCAGGTTCATTGTACTTGTGTAATATTTGAGGTTTCCTCGGCGGATATCATATTCTCAATTTGCTGCAGCAGATAGAAAACTATAACAAAACTGATGAGAAGGAGTACCAACATATCGCATTGCTAAAGCTTTTTAAAGTTAAATATGAAGCGAACATGGATTCCGCGAAACGCATATAGATCACCCTACCTATTTCTCAAACGATATCAATAAAGGCTACATGCAAAAGAATAAAATTAATCACTCGGTCAAAAAATAGCTTTAAACTTGCACCTTTTTACAAATTTCTGGTCGTAAATTTGACACTTCAGTTCGTGAATGACCGCCAAATGTATTACTACTGAGCGCAATAGCATAATTATCCTAATAGCAATAGCAAAATTATTCAAATGGGATTTGGAAGAAACGACCGAAGATTAATCAGTACATAGCCAGAAACTAACATGGCTACATGTAAATCACAAAAAGGGTGTTTTTTTCGTGTTTTAATTGATATTATGATATACAATTTAGTGTTGTAATCATAATCTACAGTGTCAAGAGCCTTTGTATTTGCATTGCATCCTTGGAGACATTAACCATCAAGTAAACCTGCTGTCCGAAGTTAGGCACCATTGAGCTAGCAACTGCGTCCTAATTTCTTTCGATCTAAGTTCTTGTTTGTAATGATGCCTTATTCAATTAATTAACGACAGTAGATATTTTTTCACTTACGAATGAGTACCAATAAACATGTATTTCGAACCACGTTTAACATTTGCAGGGTAAATTGAGGGCATGTTGCTCAATCAGTTGTTATTGACAATGCCAGCTGCAGTAAACAGTAATATGAGTGGTATGCATCTAACGAAGATGGCTTTAATATGTGTAGCTTTTCACCCATTTTGACAGTCAAACGAGTAGGTAAATGTATTTCACTACTTTTACAGTGTCTTTACGGTTGTAGTAGTATTATGAGCAAAACCTTCGTTACAGCGTACAAATAAAGTATAAAGAAGCAATATTATACATGATTTAGATGCAATTTTCATCTAAGGACAGTGACAAAATAGAACTGACAACGTCAAAGCAGAGCTTTCAAAGTAAAAAAGGTATCTCCACCTATGTTTAGAGTCTTAAAATGGCAAGTATCATGATTCATTATCGTTATCGGCGGTTTTACCTTTCTTGTGTTTTGATAATTATATGAAAACCTAGATGGAGGAAATTAAACCACAGTGAAAGCTGTAGCTTTAGAATAATAATTAAAAATTACGGTAAGCAAATGCACCACGGCAGTACGGTGAATATGTACACTACAAATGGCAATTAATGAAATTATGAAATCAAAAAGATATTATATCGACACCGGATAATGTTTGGGATGAATTGTCATTATAATTGGATCTTTATCATCCTTGACATGCGATCGAATCCTGTAGGTTTCCCCTACGAAAATTTGTCTCTTTTAACGTCCACTTATACGGTTCTCAATCTATTCTAGAACATTTGGTGTATTTTTTACAGTTCTAATGTTGTTCTGTAATCAATGTAACAGTTCGAGAACTGTTTTGGGGAAGTCCTTCAGAATGTCCTAGAACAGATTAAAACATTTTTGAATTAAAGAGAAAAACATTATGTTCTAGGGCAGATTGAGAACCGTAAGTGAGCGTTAAAGGAGACAAATTTTCGCATGGGTTGTGTCACGTAATCCGTCGTCTGCCAAAAGCTTTATCTGGAAATTGCCAGCTTTCACCTTTTCAGGACTTGCAAATAGCCTGCTAGTTAGGACACGCAATCCGACTAATCAAGCAGTAGTCTTTCCGGAGAAGACAGAAACACGGCATCGATTACCCAACCTCTGACGTGCCAGCTGTGAGCGACTCACGCAGGGATCAGAGGAGAGTGGACATGCAATTGTTTGCTCTGTGCCAAAAAAGGGCCCTTCAGATCAAGTTGACCCGCGAACTATCAGATCCTCGGACTAAAATATGGTCAACTCACTTAAAGGCAGCGCCGACTAATTCCACGATGGCGTCCCGGCCTCCACGCGCGCCGTTGTTGCGGGGCCTTGCATTTAAACCTCAGAGCTGAGAGTTGATCCGTTTAATGGCGCGGGTGTGGGCGGGGAAACAATCAGAGGATCACGCGGCGCTTTGAGGTTCGGTCGGCCATATTTAGTCGGTGGATCAGTTAGTCCGCAGATCATCTGTTCTGAAAAGTCTCATAGTAGATTGTAAACAGCATTAAAAGTACTGGCACATACAGGGTATAGCAGTTAGTGAGTATATTAGAAAATTTACCCATACGCAGACAGGGGCGGATACAGAGATATATTCTGACAGTCTTCCAAATTATCTTTGTTGATCCATCCTTCATTTTTGACCGTCTTCCGACAAAAAAATAGATACCCATCAACGTAAACTTTAAAATCTGACTGTCTTCCGGAAGACCCAGAAGACGGTCTCAATCCGCCCCTGCCAGACAAACACAAGAGGTTCGTTAGTCTTACGTCATATACGCCTCGAGTACGCAAGCAAATTAACACTGGTGTACGCGGAGGTAGTTAAATGTTTGAACATGTTGAAAAACAATTTCACACGCTGCTTAAATGCTCATTTTCATAGGGATAATCTTCAATCAGATTGACAGATTAACACGCCTCCCCCAGGCGTCGAGCATTATACAGCAAAGCTGGTGATTATGCGAGAACGCTGGTAACAATTAGGAGAGGAGGCGAGTTAATCGGTTAATCTGATTGCATTCAGCGAGAGTCCCAGCGTAGAACGACAGTTTCATTAATGGGTCCTTATGAGCCAGATTTTCTCTTTAGGATACGTGTTCGTACAGGTAAATTGATTCGTTAACTCCATAATATAGAAAAGGTATTGACGAGCACAAACGTTTTTAATGATCGAATTTATTTTATCCGGTGTAACTAAACAGTATGGGTTTAAATTTAATACAACTTACTGGTGCTATTGATAATATACTGTATACTGTACATACCAATTTGAACGGTTTTACTCGGTTACAGCGGTGCAATATTTATATGAGATTTAAAAAGGCAAGTTTACTTAACTACTGGTACGTAAAGTCTGTGTGCGTAACTATACAAAATCTTATAGTCCCATATTGAAAATAAAATTATGAATATACAGAAACGAGACCAGAAAGTTCACCTTGGGCGCTGCTCCTATTAAATGTTCAGTGTCGACATCTACCGCCCATTGTTCTTTATTCTGCACTAGCACTTAATTACTCTTTGGATCGTTCATGTGTCAACTACATTGTACATTATCACAGTGTTACAAGAACATTGTTACAAGAAAATTTCTGTTACAAGAAAATTTCTGTTACAAGACAACAGACTGTAACAATATTGTTCCGTCTCTGAGTTGAATACGTTCACGCTATATAATTATCAATTCACAAATCACAGTAAACAAAAGATACTGGTACATGTACTGTACTGTAATACATGTTAACTAATAACGTGCCTCGAAAATCCTGAAAATCACGAATCGCCAACTGGGCATAATGACTTCGTTTCACGAAGGGCGGAGAATAAAGGTCGCATTTATGCGTCACGGGAATGGGGTGCTTCACAAATCACGCTATATAAAATGAACGTTTCATGCTTCTCGGGAAATAAAAAGTGACTTTCAAGAGTGACGAAAATACCCTGTGGGACCCTCGTTTATCTGTTTCAAGTGGCAACAACTACTCCCTTCCGTATGGATAGTGTCACTTGGAATACATTAAATGAAACTGTACTGAAGACAACACCTTCGATAATTTGTGGCATAAACTGCTTTGTGAAAAACAACAACTGTAAAAATCTTTTGACCAACAACAATATGAATAACAATAATATCCATACGAGCACAATAGTTAACGTTTTCTCAAAAGAATTATGAAACATCTCGTAGAATTCTAGGCATGCAGTTATAACGCACAATAATTTACAGTATGCGTTCGCATCACCAGTTACTGCCATAAGGCGCAACATCATTTCTATGAAAACACGTGACCTTTTTAACAGGCCTATGCTTGGCCAATCACCATTCACTATTGCTAGAGTGTCCGGTTTATTACAATAGTTAAAAAGTACATAACCAATCACATGTAGGCTACTGTACAAATAGTGAACTGTATACTAATCAGCAACATTAAATGCTGTACTAATGCTTTTCTCAAACATTGGTGAACAAAAGGTACAATTGCCACGGGTCCCACATGTATTGCCTCTCAATGCATTGGGTCGTATTTTCAAAGTGTAGGCGAGGGCAGGTACTATTTGTATAATATAAAAATACAATTGATTAGTTTTATATCTTTCGCAACAATGGACTCAATAAACCAACCAAAAGAAATGTAATACGAATCCATTAATTTTCTATTTACTTGTTTGTTGTCCCTTAGTAAATGACAAAATATAAAAATAAATATAGTATACATTTCACAAAAGAGTCGATATTTAGACAAAAAGGCAGTCAAACAGACAGGTACAATATCTATTAGTTTAATCCTTTAAGGATGTTCTTTAATTAGTATTTGTTACGCCATTTGAGGTAGTCACGGGACTGCCGCACCAGAATCTCCGCAAGGCCTGCGAAAAATTCTTATTCATAAGGCAGTAAATCAGGGCGTTGGACGTGAGGGCAATGTTATAGAGCGCGGTACAAATGACATAAATACCTCTATCGACAACGAAGGCCAGATCTAGGGCGCGCAAAAAGGCAAAAGGAGCATAGCCCAGGATAGTAATGGCGCACATGACACAGAACATGCGGCACAGCTTGATTTCTCTGTTCTGAATAAACGCGCTTTGGGGTGGGGCTACATGTACGGCGTACGGGTCGTGGGGAACCACGCTGTTTCCGCTCTTTTTGATCACCATAAATATACGTATGTAGCATGCGTATATCGTTATCGAGGGGATGACTATGAACAGGATGAAACTGAGGATCTTTTGGAAATCTTCGGTGTCCGAGAGAAATATACAGTCAGTCCCAAGACTGTCGATGTGGTACTCCTTGAACTCTTCGTACATGGAGGGAATCATTGACAATGGCGGTATGACCCAACAGAAAGCTATGTTCATTGTGAGTAATTTGGGACACTCAATGAGCTTCTTGTTGTTGAAAATTACACAGGTGTACCGCTGCAAAGCAATGAGAGCCTGCTGCAGCATGGAGCAACCAAAGAGCGACAGGTTGACGAAGGTGAACACGTGACACAGCACTTCACCGTACTGCCATCTATCGTTGACATACGTGTCGATGATGGCGACAAGGAGAAAGAGCGTAAAACACAGTCCGCAGACGCTGAGGCTTATCAAGCTGGCCTTTCCTTTGACGTTGATCACTTTGTCCTTCACAAGAACTCCCAAAATCAGAATATTTCCTAGGAACCCGTTTACGAAGGACAGGATTCCAAACGTGGCACCTGTCACTCGCCATCCTACCGTCAGGCCGTGAGCGGCGCTTCCATCACTAGAATTATACATTTTGTGACTGAGTCTCTTTTAAAGTTGTTGAGGCGTCAGTACACGTAGGGAAATGCCGATTAATATTTCTGAAAATATAGCAAGAAACACAATAAGCAACCGTGCATATGCAATTGAATTGACGAAAAATGAGATACACAGACCCGCTAAAAGGCTGAGGAAGGCACATTTCGAACAATTGTCGGGTGAATTGTGCCCATTGGCGGATTTGGGGGGGGGGGGG